ATTTTTTAATTATAATTATAGTAAATGGGCGTTTGGGATAATATTAGGTGTGGTTCCCGAATTCAAGAAATGCTGAAAATTCACCTCGAGTCAGTGGAAACCAAGTGAGACGGAGCATTGAAAAGAAGGCTCTGAAGGCCGCACTCAAACAGTCTGTTTGTGCACCGTTTCACCCACTTTCCAAGTCCTCCCTTGGCGCGGATCCCCCCTGACCCCCCCCCGCAAGCGGGGGGGAACCACATCCGCGTCCACACAGTACGGACAGGGAAAGTGGGTGACATGGGGACGCACAAACAGTGGCTGAAAAATGGACTTCCTTCAAAAAACACTCGCGGCAAATATTTTATTTTGGTAAACGGGGTGAGGGTGGGAAAGGTCTGCCCCAAATAATGAAAGGGGGTGTTGTCCAATTTTTAAATAATTTTTAAATGTTTTGAAACAAAAATTATGGGATAATTAAATAAAATAACTTTAACAAAATATACTATTTATTACTGTTTTTTTTATTATTTAAATAATAAAGTAAGTTATAAACAATAATACAATAAAGTATTTACTTGTTATAGTATAATAAATTATTATATAATATAATATAAAATTAAATGATTTCATCATAGTTTTACAATTATTTTTAGTAAAATATAGTTAATTTAAATGGTTTTAAAAATAAAGAAAAAGCGAAAAGAATAAAACTAGAAAAACAACTTTGAAATGTCTCAGGGGAATGTCCAACCCACGAACATGAAGACTAAACAAGAGATGGAAGAGGTACAACAATCTACAACAAACACTTTTTTGTTACTTCAAAGATTGTGTGGCATATACAAGTCGTTTTGTAACACGTGTACACAATACCAACAAAAACAGAATGATCTCTTAAAAGCAACAGACGTGTTTTCTTTGTCATTGGAATCCCTTGGAGACACTTCTCTCTCAACAAAACCCAACGAACAACTTCACCCGGATATCAACGCGGGTATAACAAATGTCATTACTGTTTTAAGTGTGTGGAAGGACGGCATCAACGGGATGATGACTGAAGTTGGCAATTTAGTAGCATCTGTGCAGCACGACTTAACAATTTTGAACAAAAAAATCGACGAACAACAAAAAGACTTGAAAATGGTTAAAGCAAAGAGGCAGGAAGAGGTTAAGAAGGTCCACAAAAACGTCGAGAGTATTGCCAAAAACCAAAAAACTGATCCGAACCCCGAGTCGTTGGCGGAGGCAATGAAGGCTGTATCTGTATGTGAAAGTGAAGGCCAAACTGAGGAAATGGGTGCGTTGGAAAAGGCGTTGATATTATATCGGTACACGTATATTGACTTGTTTGCCAAATTGAAAATGATGTTTGTGGCAAAGTTAGAAGGAGACATGAAGTCGCAAGACATCTTGAAAGTTGGGTTGGAGTGCACTGAAAAGTCGATCAGAGTTGCGAAACAAATACCTCCTAACTACAGAAACCAAGTCTCTTTCCAAACCCAATTAATGATTAACACGGCATGGCTGTCACCACAACTCAGAGACGTTTTAAAGAGAGCCGGGTTCAAACCAAGCTACTTGTCAAATCCAGTGTGGGTCGAGACACTTATGGATACGGTCAGACTCGCCGTGAAGCAAGGAAAGGTCCCTAAAATATTGTTACAACAACTTGAAGAGTCACAAACAACAAAAACCAACAAAAGTGCAAGCGACGAAAAAGAACAAAAACAAAAGAGGCAAAAGATTGAGAAACCAAAGGCACCAAATAACACAGAAACAAAAGAAAAAGAAAAAAAGATTCCATCACAAGATATCAAAAAAGAAAGCAAACCAAATACTCAAATCGTTGAAACAAAAAAGGAAGAACCAAAGAAAACTGAACCAAAGATTGAACAAAAATCACAAACCACTGACTTTGTGTTCCACTTTGGAAGAAAATCAAATGTTAAGAAACCCGAACCAAAAAATGAATCATTAAAACAAGAACCACGAAAGGACGAACCGAAAAAAGAAGAACCAAAAAAGGTTGAACCTCCTCAATTGATACCAAAAAAAGAAGAACTTCAAAAACATGTCGAAGTAAAAAAAGAAGAACAAAATAAGGTTCAACCAAAAGTGGAAAAAGCAAAGGAAATTATAACTAAAGAAAAAATCCCTCCTACTAAAACTCCTCCTCCCCCTCCAAGTACAAAACCACCCCCTATTAATTCTTTAAAGACACAAACAAGACCGACACATAAAGTTTCTCAATCAATTGACACCACAAAATCTAAAAGAAAGTGCGTCAACTATAAAGGTCCTATCGATACATCGACAACAACAGAACGTACATCAATACAACCACCTCAACTCACAAAACAGGCTTCAAATCCAAACTTACTCGAACCGCCTCAAAATTTGAAACCACCTACGTTCGACACACCAAAGAATGCAACAACAACAACACAGAGCACTGGAAGACAGGATTTACTCAGCGATATCAGAAAGGGGACAACCCTTAAACCCCCAACAATAACAAATGATAATACAGTCACTGATGATCAGTACGACGACTTATCTATGATGCTCAAGAAAGTGATTGACGCAAGAAGAGACGACATTTGCCCGAACGAAGAAGAGGAAGACTCTGACGAGTGGAGTTCGTAACGTATGTATTTCAGCACCAAGTTATTTAATTATTTTAGGTACATTTCATTGGTTATGAGAGGTAAAATGCTTAAGATATAATCGCACATAAATTAAAAATTCAGTCATGTTAGTCGAAGAGTAAAATTATAGAAGAGTACGTCTTCACCGTCTTCATAGTATCAGTTAAAGCCATAATATCGCCATTCTCGTTGATGATGTTTGGTGAATGAAGGCCTTCTTTGTGACCATTCTTCAAGTCGAAACGAGTGCAAATGAAGTCGATTGTCTCCAAAACTGTCCAATCGAAGTTCACCCAAATTGCCTCGCTCCTCGAAGGAAGAATCACTTCTAAATACCGTCGCTTCGCAATTGGAATTGTTTGAACGCCTACTGCAAATTTTGAGATGAATCGGATCCGTTTTGCTCGTTCATCACCAGGAGCACTTTGACGTTGTTGTGGTGGTTGAACTACTGGTGGAGCTGATGAAGGCTTGGGGTGTTTGATTGTGGAGACCAGAGAGGTGCACTTATGTGAGAGTTGATTTCGGTGTTCAACACAAAACGATCGGTGGCAGTCAGGACACTCAATCTTGACGGGGCCTTTCTTGTGGCAAAATGCGCACTCGTTTGTATTGACCTTTGTAATGGGTCCACTTGTTTGGTGGAATTTTGTTAGCTCTTCCTGCTCGGCTTTGCAGTCGTGTTGTGTGATACACCTCTTACAAAATGGTTTATGGCAGTAATGACAATTGTAGGGTAAAAAGTCGACCAAATGACATTTATCACAAGGAGTTCCGATGTCCAGTGTTTGTTGTGACTTCTCCATATTTTTTATTGTATGAATTATTTAGTGTGGTGTTTTATCACATCCTTCTAATTTAGTGAATCCAACACAATGGTAGTGGTGATATACTTCAACACTTTTCTTATTGAATTTATTTATTAATAGTTTTACAATTATTAAATGTAAGTGATATATTTTTGTTTTGTTTTTATTAATAGTATATTGAAATTAAAAAATAATTCAAATATAACCAAACACATTTATTTTCATGAAAACATCAAGAGACACCAATTTGATAATAAAAAATAGAAAAAGACTCTTATTTATCTGACTGTTCCATCAACAATCTCATCAACTGTGATGACATTGTCAGAATCCTTGACAACAAATGGCGTTTCTTTGGTCAAGACAACGCCACCCTTCAATGACAATTTTGACTCTGCAACCAAGTCGATCGAAATTGGCTTAGCACCAATAGTGACCTTTTCTCCTTTTGGCACAACAGCAGTTCCAACCTTGGCGTCTTCTTTTGGATGGCAGAATTTGACCATCTTTCCGTCAAGAGACGTAGCAGCCAAAATCATTCCTTCTGATGGGACACCTCTCAACTTTGATGGCTTCAAATTGCAAACAAATGATGCCTTTTTCCCTTGGAGTTCCTCTGGTTTGTAGTGCTCAGCAAGACCAGCAACAACACTTCTGACATTCTCTTCTCCGACATTCACTTTAAGGCACAACAAGTGCTCTGATGATGGGTGTGGGCCAGCTTCGACGATTTCGCCAACACGGATATCAAGTCTAAATCCGTCGAGGACTTCTGGCTTTGGTTGTGGTTTCTTGACCTTTTCCCTCTTCTCTCCTTTCTTACCAGCTCCCTGTGACGCATTAAGCTCTTGTTCGATCTCAGCGTCCTCCTTCTTTTCTCTCTCCTTCTTCTCGGCGTCGTTTTCTGGTCTCATTGTTGGGAACAAAATGACTTCCTTGATATTGTCAACATCGGCAAGCAACATGGAAAGTCTGTCAATTCCAAGACCCCATCCACCAGTTGGAGGAAGGCCGTGCTCAATAGCGTCCAAGAATACTTCATCAACAAGTTGTGCTTCATCATCTCCAGCGGCTTTGTCCTTGGCCTGCTGCTCGAAATTGTTTCTCTGGACAATTGGGTTGTTTAACTCAGTGTAAGCATTGGCAATTTCTCTCTTCAAGATGAAGAGCTCGAATCTTTCGGTCATTTCAGCTTTAGATCGGTGATATTTAGCCAATGGACTCATCATCTGTGGTTGGTCAATAACAAAGGTTGGTTGGACCAATTGTTCTTCAATTAAGTCACCAAAGAGTTTGTCCATAACACGAGAAGCAGTTTGTGGTTCTGGGCAGATGGCGTTGTACTTGATCGACATCTTCTTAAGGAAGTCAAGAGCCTCTTTCGATGTGAGGGGGCGTGGGATCTTCTCGCCAAATTTCTCTTCAAGAGCGTCCACATAAGAGAGTCTCTTGAATGGACCAGTGAAATCAATGACCATCTTCTTCTCTGTGACCATCTCGCTGAACAACTTCTTCATGACTTTCTCGTTGTTTCCGTCATAGTAGAGTCCTTGGTCCAAGCAGTGCTTTTCAATGACCTTAGAGCATTCCTTTGAGTCGAATGGTCTTGGGATCTTTTCGCCAAGAACTTTTTCTAACATTTCGATGTCCTTTTCTGAAGTAATGTCCATGTTTCTGTCTTTAATCTCAAGCTTAGTTGAGCCACCAGTGATATCCTTGACCATTCCTCCAAGGAGTTCTTCAGTCATAGTCATCAAGTCGTTATAGTCGGCGTATGCCATATAAAACTCACAGGTGGTGAACTCTGGATTGTGGGTCTGATCAATACCCTCGTTTCTGAAGAGTCTTCCGATTTCATAGACTCTGTTGATGCCACCGACAACCAACTCTTTCAAGTACAATTCTGGAGCAATTCTCATGTACATTTGGATATCCAATTGGTTGTGGTGTGTAATAAATGGCTTAGCAGTAGCTCCACCTGGGATGGTATTCAAAATTGGGGTTTCGACTTCCAAGAATCCGAGGTTGTCCAAGTATCTTCTAACACCCTTGACGACTTTGGATCTGATGTAGAAATTCTTGACGGAGTCTGGGTTCACAATCATGTCCAAGTATCTCTTTCTGAATCGGGTTTCTTCATCACCAAGTCCGTAGTGTTTTGATGGCAACATGTGCATACATGGTGAGAGAATAGTTGCATTCGTTGGGACAATAGAAAGTTCGCCGGTTTTGGTACGTGTGGGGTGTCCAACAACACCAATGTAGTCACCTCTATAAACCATCTTGGTGAATGAAGTAAACTCCTCTTTGCTGGTGTACATTGACATATTCAACATGACTTGGAGCTTTGTTTGGGAATCGAACAAGTCGATGAACATTAAAGCAGCTGAGGAAGATCGTTTTGTCATAACACGACCAGCAACAGCAACGACATCCTCACTGTTCTGAGTCTTCTCGAGTGATGCGTACTTCTTGACAAACTCTGGGATGGTGATTGTCACCTGGAATTTGTGTGGCCATGGGTTCTTGCCGCTTTTCTCATATTCCTCAATTTGAGTCAATCTCTGTTGAAAGACTTTCTTTGCCATTGATCTGTTTTTGTAGTGAAAATTCCTTTTATACAAAATTAGGGTTTGTCGTGCTAAGAGTTGCACCAATTGTATTTTTTCTAGAAAATGTGGCTTTATAAACTAATGATGTTAGTTTCCTCTGATTGTTTGAAGGGCATTTATGAAGAAAAACATCCATTATAAAAACCTCAAGTCATATTCCTTAAAGTACTATACATATTAGTTTTTATTTTAATTCGATAACTTTTGTTTTTCTGCATCTATTTTCTATATATAGAAGTCTTAGGTGTGCACATACAAACGTTTTTATGGCAGGATATGAAGAGAAAAAAAGTATAAAAGTGCCTTAATAACACGGGATGTGAGGGTGAATAAATAGTAATTAAGTTCAATTAAATTGAAGAATGATAAGCCTCTTTATATCGAAAAACTTGTTGTTGTCGTTCACAAGAACTCGGCACCCAATTGGCGGCAAGTTGGTATAGCCATTGATGATGGATTCATACACAAAAACTTTTGAATCACAAGTCACACCAAAGGCTGACTGAACGTTAAAGACGTTTCTACAGTCACTGCTGTCGTAAACATGTAGAACATCACCATTGGTGTCTTTTACGGGGAACTTTGTGGGTGGGATGTTATGTGGATTTTTGAGTGTAAAAACAAAGTGCTTTGGGTCGTCCTTTGATGAAATCAATTTGTCGGGAGGTGGGATGATCCCGTGGAAAGAACCGAAAACATTTCCTCTTGTATCCTCAACGAGAAACACAATGTTCGTTTTACCTGTTATTTTGCTGTCAACACCACGTGCTGTCAACTCATCATTTTCACTGTCAAATATTGTCGTGCACTGAGAAAGGCCAGTCCAACTTTTTAAGATATCGTTGTTTTCATTTTGCATTGATTTTTTAGTTTCACCAATCTATTATTTAATCCAATTATAACAATTAATTCAACATTATAATAATTCAACATTTTAATAACAACCACTTGACTTATAAAATACAAATTTATTAGATTTTTATTTGTTAAACTCGATGATTTATTGAATCAATTCACAAATTTAGCCGGCAATAAGATTGTTATGTTGATAGAATGTACGGTTTTAATGATTTAATTAATATGAGTAATTTTTATTTGATTTTAGTAATATTAAAACGTTGTTGATTGCTTATTTGTCGTATTGATCATTTGTAAATAGTATTTATTATTATATCATTTTCGCAAAGACAGTCCATTGTATTCATATGAAAATACATACAATTTCGAGTAGAGCTAAAATATACAATTTCTTTCTACCATTATAAATAATTATTTTCATAATTTGTTATCTTGTTTTTATAGCAAATAATAATTTTTATAACAAGATGATAATTTACTGTTAATTTGTATCTTTTGATTATTATATTTCAATACTTATGAAAATCGAGTCTTGTCTAACAATAATTGCTTTTTGAATGATTCAATAACAGTTTAAATTTGGATAACTAAATTGTGTTTTGCGAAATTAAATTTGCAAAACAATAAAATATTAATTGTCAATTTTATTATCTTATTGTTATACAACATTTTTATTTATTTGTCTTAAATGACAGTTATCAAAAATGATCCCAGTCAAAGAAATGATTGTTGTCATTTAGTGCAATAATATCGAAATAAAAAATACGCAATCTATACAAAATGTTTAAGGACTATAAACAATTACAAAAATTAGGCATAAAAAATTTTTGACAATTTGAATGATTTATAAATAAAACCGCACAAAACTTTAAATATCTTTTTATTAAGATTTTACAAAAGATAATTCACTATACAATTATATTGTCCTTTTTTTAAACCAGTTTGAAAATCTCAGAAGATTCATTGTCAACAATGATAATCTTATCACCTGGGATAGCAAAAATTTATCAACTCATAATTTAATACAAATCTTATTGTATTCAAATGATCATTTTTGACAATCGACAAAAATGTTTGGATATTTAATTTTTAAAACATGATAAGAGCAATAAAAATTGTTGTAAAATTAAGTTTTTCTTCATAGGATTAGTTTGTAAACGTATTTTTTTAAACATAATGGCTTTTTTGAGTGAACGATGAGTATTAAACAAAATGTGAAAAAAACAGAAAATATAAAATGGATTTTTTAAATTAGTTTCCTGAAATATTCCATATATTGGGTTTAATAATTAAGGGATACTAAATGAGATTAGACGATGTGAAAAAACGAACTATGGAAATCCGAAATTAAGAATTAAAAAAAATATTAAATAATGATATGATATAAGAAATAATATAATTAAACAAATTATGTTTTATAGTAAATATGAATTGCAAACGATTGATACAAAAAAAGTTTGATATATAAAAATAGAAAACAATTGAAAAAAACGTT